CACGGCCACCATTCGGCGATTGGCCGACAGCTCCCACATCCGGAGGGTTTTGTCGTCGCCGACGGTGGCGCAGACGGGAAGCAGCGGATGGGCGGCCAAACCCCAGACCTCGCCCTCCGCGTGACCCTGAAGGCGACGCGTCAGTGGTGACGCGCCGAGTCTCGAGCCTGCGGCCTTCCGTTCGGTCTGACCTGGACCAGCAGCGTCATGGGACCGCTCTTGTCCACCTCCAGAATTTCTCCGTTCTTGGTGCCGACCAGAATGCGCCCGTGCGCCAGCGCGATGGCTCGGACGGACGGATTGTCTTCGAGCAGCAGCCCTGAAGAGGCACAACGGCGCCGGGGTCGGTGCTCAGGTGGCGGAAACCCGGTGTGGGCGGAAACCCGGTGTGGGCGGAAACCCGGTGTGGGCGGGGCCGGCGGCGCGTCCCACCTTTGGACGAGGGGGACAGAAGCGTCCTCTTGATGGCGTAGGTCTTCAGGCACCTTTCAAAGGCGTCGTCCCACAGTTCCACCACGCCGTCCTTGCCGCCCGTCACGAAACCCTGGACGGTCCGGGCGACAGGCGCCGTTTGGGAACCCGTATGTGACGTCGTATGCGGGAAGCCCTCTCGGAGCATTCGCTTCACGTCTCGCGCGCTTGCGCCGCCGGTGGAGGACCCACGAGTCGCGTTCTCGATACCCGTCTTGACTTTTCCGAACGAGTCCGGCGTAGCGGCGGGGCGCGTGCATCGCTCGTGAGCTAAAGCTAGCCGTGGGGCTTTTGGTGCCACCGGCGGGACGCGTGCCTCGACGCACTCAGCGGCATTTCCAAGTAAGGAGACCGGGTCCCTTAAATAGCTCGTCGACTCGAACTTTTCTTTGCCGGGCGACCCCACGATAGCGGCGCGCGACGCTGGCCGGTGAGGCCGGCCGGCGAGGCGCAGCGGTTAGACGAGCCCCCCCGAATCGTCTTCCTCGTGGAGACGATCCGGTACGAAGGTACCCGGACGACCCGGAGGCGACGCGGCGTGAACGCCCCGAGAGGTCTTCCCTTCAGTCGGCGACATCGGCGTCCGCTCCAGACCTTGTCCAGGGAGCACATGGCGAACACGGGCCCGTCGTGGGCCTTGACGGTCTTCACCAGTGCGGTTTCTCGCCAAATGTAAACGTCGCCGTTGGCGGCCCCCGAGTAGAGCGAGTCCTCGGCGCGGCCGTAGCACGCCGACATCATGGTCTCCCGCTTGGCCAGGTTCCCGAAGATCCCCCGTTTGAACATCAGGCCGCCACCTGGTGGGGAAGGAAAACAAAGCGGCTGGGAAGCGGGTGACGTTTGCCGGCGAGGAATTTGCTGCCAGTCGCCGGCGTCGGTTTGGCCCTCGCCATTCGGCTCAAAACCCCGCACGGCATCCCACGTGACTCTCTTCGACTGTCGCGCCGACCGAGGCTGGACGCGCCGGAAGGAGCGGCGGCCCGACTTGGCCGCACGGTGAAAATCTTGACACGCGGGCTGTTTGGACGCCCGACACCGGTGACGCCGCGAGCGCCGGTTTCCCACCTGTGTGTTGCCAGAACTTGATGTGTTTCGTCCCCAGCGTGACCAGCTTGTCCATCCTGAAGGGATTACTCTTCACCACAAACACTTTATCCTTGTGACCGCTGCAAGAGAAGCAGGGCGAGTCGAGGGCGAGCCCGGGTCACTCTTAGGCGGGCGGGTGGGCGG